AATATATAGTACATATTAATATATTCTCATTGTACTGCCTAGTTAATACACTAATAGTCCAATAGTCAATATAATGTTTATGAAGTCACTAAAAGAATATGCTTTATATTCTATTGGAATATCATTTTTCCCTCTACCTTTCTATGTCAGCTCCTTCTCTATCTGCTGCTTTGGTTTATATATTGCACTTTTCTGTCTCTCTAAAATGGATAATAATTATAGAGAATCAGGAATTTGAAGATTTATTAATAAACTAATCATGAGTAGAAGTTAGTCTTCAACTGAGATACTTCAATGATTTGTAAAAAGGTCTTACTACCTATAATTCTAAATAAGGGGGAATCTTAAGACAGGAGTAGAATACAAATATTACAAATGAAAGACCAGAAAAGGGAAGTTTTAAAACTCAAACAAAAAAACTTACTGGGAAATATCATTGACCACACAATATAATTTTTATACATATGCTTGGAAAAGTATTATGCTTCTACTCATGGTTAATTTATTTTAGCCTAATTTTGTTTACATAAGTAAGTAACAACAAAAAAGGTAAGTAACATGTACCTCTTTTTTTAACAGAACGATGTCATGAATAGTTCTTTAATTTTTGTGTTCTAGATTTGAAAATTGAAATAAATCTATACAAGACAGCTTTATATTCCAAAACTATGTACCTCACTATAGAAATGCTATATTATTTTTAGTTGGAGAAAGGACATATTTGAAAAAACTCCCATTGAAATTCTTAAAAGTAATCAATATTTATTAAGTTCAGAAGAGTACAAATTTAAAATATTTATGTTTGACATGGGTAGTACTTCTATATAAGTGTAGCAACTCCTACAAAACCTCATTAGCATTTTCCAACCTCCCTTATTTTGTAATGTACACTTTTGAACACAGAATTGCTAGGTCTTCTGTAAGGTTGCTTTTGGTCTTTAGGAAAAGTCTGGAGAAGTCTCTAGATTTCAATTTTTTTCTTATTGAGCCTTTGCTTAAATTTTATACCACAAAGTTTAACTATTCATTTATTCTAAAAAGTCTGCTTTCTTGTATTTGTTTGATGTAAATTAAAGTTAAATATTAAATTGTACTTTACAGGTCATTGTCATTAACTCTGCAAACTGGTCTGCCTGCCGGCACATATTGTGATGTCATTTCCGGGGATAAAGTTGGTGGAGACTGCACAGGCAGTAGAGTCTATGTTTCTGACGATGGCACGGCAGAGTTTTCTATTAGTAACACTGCTGAAGACCCCTTTATTGCCATTCATGCTGGATCAAAATTATAAAATTCAAATTAAATACATGTAGAGAAAGCATAACCAAGTGTATTTCTTTTCTTGGACATGCAAGAGTTCTTATAATTCATTAAATTTTAGTTTTACGTACAAATAAGTTATATGTAAACAACATGAATCAGCATAAGCATTTTAAAAGTACACATAACTATACAATTATAATGTATCTACAACAAAGAATTGTCCTATATTGACCTTTATGAATTTCTTCCTCTTTCATAATAAAAAATTGCACCCCATTCTTCAAAAGGCAATGCTCTCACCTTCTCGCTGCGGTGGATTGCTGCACCATGGCAGGCTTGTACAGGTGCTCTTGCCCTCTCCACCCTCTCCTCTTCTCCCCTCTCCAGACTTTTTTAGGGAGAAGTGTCTCACTAGGCCATATTTAGGGGGAGTTCACTCATATTTATACTGTATTAATTGCTTACAGGTTGTACCTCATCCTCACAATTGTAGAACACTACAGGAAAGCTATATTGACCTGGGCTCTTGTTTCTCTTTGTTTGGGGAAACTGTTCTAAGTATGTAGAAAACAGTTCTGACCACAGCTGACTCTTCCTGTTAGTAATACTAATCTTTTCATCTAACCCTAGGCAACATTGAATAGAGATGTAGGAAAACAAAAAAGGTGATGCGATCAACTTATATGAATGCTGTGTAGCCATGTTTATATTTTGATATAGCAAGATTTTTCCTTACTGCGTTCGTCCACTCGGAGTATATGTAATCCAATTACAAAAAAATCTTCACTTCAGTTTGGTTGTGTCTTGTCCACCACGGGTTCTTGTGCTGCAGGCCTGGTTCCCACGCTGCTGACGTGAAGGTAGTGGGAACGGTGAGTGGTGGAGTTTGTATTGGAAGGTGGTTAGCTCATTGGGAATGCCGCCCTCAGAAGCAACTAGGAAGTTCTTGTTGGACCTTACTTACTTTCTGAATGAGTTGTTTCAAAGTAGCAAGGCTGACTGCTGCGGTCCTCCCGGCTTCCTGTGTCACCCTGTGGCCCCCGTCACATGTGCTCTTGCTGTGATGCCATGGGCATGCACACTGCGCCAGAACCAAACACACGGCACCACTCAACCTTGGCTGTTTAGCCCTTAAAATTGAGACTAAGTGAAGCCCTTTCCTTTATATATTTCTCAGTTTTGTTAGAGTAATAGAAATTTCCTAATACATGAATTCCCAGATTTTCTTAAAGGTTAGCTCTTCTTTTTTTATACTGTTTTTTTACTAATCAAACATCTTTGTTTTCATTGCAGTTTCCATAATTTCAACTTAATTTATTATTCATCTCTCCATTGTCCATTTTCCATTATCAACCCTCACTGCGTCTGTTTCTATCCACACTGTCGATGACATTTGTTACCAGCCCAGGGTACTTCTCCAGTCTCATTGTAAAATACTCACAGCGGTATTCAAAACGGTCAGCCACAGTCTCTTCCTCTCCTCCTTTGGCTACTATGATTCTGCTCTTACCTGATTCTATCTCACTGATAGCTCTTTAAATTTTTCTGAATCATCTTCCACTTTATGTAAGGCCTGATTTGTGTATAATTCTCTTCTATATCTTCTTTAGATGATTGCAATCATTTGCCTGAGTTTAAAACAAATCCATCTTACCAGATTCCTATGTCTCTAATGCAGAATATTTCTTGAACATCAGCCTCACTTTTCTGGCAGAGGTTTTTTATTCCAATTTAGTATTTCACAGATATCTCATGTTTAACAAATCTAAAATGAAACTAGCAATTTTTTCTTACATGACGTCTTTACTGTCTCCTTTTTATTGCTTACTTAGAAACCTGTGGTATTCACTTAATTTCTTCCTCTTCTCTAATATTCTATTTTTTCACATAAACTTTAGGATGAAATATTATGTACCCATAATGTCTCTCAATTCTTTGTAATTCTTTTATATTATTTGCCACTATTTCAGCCAGGACGTTTGATACCTGCATTGCAAAGCAACCATATAATAGGTCTCTTATTTCTCCTGCTTTACTCCATCATATATTTTACTAATGACCCTAAAATCATATTCATAAAATTTAAATCAAAGTATAAGCTTTTATACTTCAAATCCTTGCATTCTTATTTCATCCAGAATAAAATCCTAATTAATTAAATCTGGATGAACCCTGGCAGTCTACACAACCATGTCATTTTGTACAAACCTAGTCTTCCAACTCAGCCCCGGCTCTTTCCCAATACCTCTAGCTCTTTCAGCTTTTCTTCATTTTCTTAAATATCTCATTTTACTTTTCATCTTGGGCATTTTGTTTGATGGCCTCATTTTTTAATTAGAACAGCCTTAACCCAGGTCTTAGCCTGCCAGGCTTTTGTCTTTGTAAGCAGTGCCTTACTCACGGACTGCCACCACTATTTAGTCAGCTTTGCAATCCAAATGTCCGAATTTAACCTTTCAATCCCTCCCCTCTTCTTATAACTCCCCCAAACAATCAAGCACCAAATCCTTGAGTTCAGTGCTGGCAAACCTTTTAGAGACTGAACTGTGTAGCCATTGCAACCCAGGGCCCAAACTTCAACCCAGAGCCCACCTATTCATTGCAAAGTGTGAGCGCTGCAATCAAACCTGAACACTGAGGTTTTAGTTTAGAAGAGACAATTCATATACTAAAATCTTTTCTTTTGAAAGAAAAGCAGAATAACAGAGCTTCCCTAGATTCACCACCACTGCTTCAGATTTTTGTCTTTAAAATATTTCTTGGTCATATTCTTCTTTTTCTACTGGTACTGTATATCCATCATTTTCTTAAAAGACTGGAATTTCCTTTTAATGCCACCAATATGGGAAAAGTCTAAAAACCTCCAATTTAAAACCATAATGCCTATTATTTATGAAAATTGCACCGTAGTACGTAAGAAAAATGTACTGTGATTACAATCCAGGGTGTTTTACCCACTATACCTTAACAGGTCAGTATTATGTTCATTTTTCTTTTTCTTTTAACAGGAGAAAGTAGCTAGTGAATCCCTTTATCAATTTCCCCATGGTTATCAGACAGAGAAGAGTTTTCATGATTTTCAGGCACTGATAAACATGTATCTTTACCCCCTCAGCTGAAGAGAGGATGAATATAAAGATATGTTAGAAGCTTTCAAAGAGGATGTTTGAAAGGGATCCTATAATGACATAATGGTATTTGTACAAGACTGTGTACTTTTCAAATAGTAAAATACTTTCCAGGAATGTAAAATATTAAATGTGTGTAGCGGTTGAGTTTTGAAATTTTAGAATACCTTCACTGAAGTTCTTTTACTATGAATCAGTTGCAGCAACAGCTTCCGCTTTAGCCCTTTCACCAACATTCTTTTCTCTGCCATGCAATCAAGGTGATTGTCGGGCTGGGGATTTAGCTCAGCGGCAAAGCGCCTGCCTGGCAAGCGCAAGGTCGTGAGTTCGGTTCCTGGTACCGGAGAAAAACCAAAAACCAAAAAAAAAAAAAAAAAAAAAAATCAAGGTGATTGTCAAATCGAAAGATCAACACCATGACCACAGCAGTGATTCTAAATCCCGTCCATGGATTTCAACTTACTTTAGAATAAAAGGCCAAAATGCTTCAGGGAACTCAAATGTGCATGTGAAGCCTCATCTTACCAAAGTCTTCTCTTTCACTTCTATTCTCAAATAATGCTAATGTTTTACTCACTCAGAACAGATGAGAAACCCGGCTCAGTGTATGGCTTGCCTGGCTGCTGCCCTTAGTCTATGGACATTATTAGACCCAGAAAGGCCAGAGGGACAATTATCCCAAAGATGCATTTTAATACCCAATCAGCACCAGGCATTTGTAAAAACTTACAGAGACTAAAGTCTGGCACTCAGACACCAGAACAAAAACTTATCCATTTGGCTTTCAAAGTTTGTAACAACAGAGATGAAAGTTCTCAAAAACAGAGCATTTCTGAACAGCAGATTTTAGCCTCCAATGTAAGACACCCTCAGGCTGGACCGGACCCCAGGTCATAGTTAAACTGTTTCTATGGTCTTTCTGCCCATGGGCATTCCTCTCTGACCCTGTTTCAACTGCCACTGGGCTAGGGAATGTCCACAGTGTGGGATTATTCCTAAACTGTGTCCTTCCTGTGGGGGTCCCCACTGGAGGTCGTACTGCCCAATGCTGGCAGCCACCCCTGCTGGCTCTGGACAATGGCTCTGGGATCCCCATCCTGTCTGCTCCTTCTCAGACCTTGTTGGCCTGGCCACTGAAGGCTGACTAGGTCCAAAACCTGTTGAGCTCCCCTGTAATATTTTGAGTGCTGAACTCCAGGTGACTCTTACAGTAAAGGGTAAGTCCATCTCATTCTTATTTGATACAGACATTTGTCATTCCACTTTTCCTTCCGTCCTAGGACCAACCTCCTTGGCCCCCATTACTGTTATGAGTAGTAGTGGCAAAGTCTCCAGACTCTTAAAAAACTCCCCAGTGTGGTGCCAGTTGGGTCAATACTTCTTCCCACACTCAATTTTAGTCATCCCTACCTGTCCTGTTCCCCTTTTAGAATGAGATAGCCTAACACCCTAGCCCTAATTAGACCTCTCCCCTCCTCTCATCTATGACTTCTGGCCCAGATAACACTCTTCTTCCTTTCAGCCTGTGCTCTCTGGAAGCTTCTCCCAGCAGCTCCCAATTATCTTTACAGAACATTACTGTTAACTCATTCCTTGCTGAACCAGTCCAATCCTACCTTAGCCAGAGACTGCTGGCTATGTATTTCTATGTCTACAGCAGCCTATATGATTATTCCACTCACTCCCCAGGTCTGGGTCTTTACCAGTGTCATATACATTGCTACCCCAGGATGAAATGAAGGGTCCACTCTGACTCCTCAACAAAATGTCCATAGCCACTTTGCCTGTCACTAGTGAAGACAAAAACACGCCATACAATATAAACTCAGAGGTATGATAGACACTGTGAAATGATAGGAAACCGCTCAAGAGTAAAGGGCAACTGGGATGTGGGAAAAGAGAAGGGAAAAAAGGAGAAATTTTGTATGTATGT